GGTCACAGTGTTCTTCAACCTTCAAAAGGCTATATAAATACCATTTCAAATACTGAGATTCCAGTTTCCCATGGAAGCACAAATTTTGCTCTGAACTCTGACATCAGCAAGTTTCACCACCTTCACTTGCAGAGGAAAGGACAAAAATCGTTAAGTAGGTTCCTTCCCCCCACAACCCCACCGCAACTTCTATATTCTTTTCTTGAAGTAGAAGCCTGCAATATCAACAGACATCACTGACATCTTAAATAATTTTCCCCTGTGATTTGCAACAAGAGCAATACTACGTAATAATATATTCAAAAATTAAACTTGAACATAATAAAAATGGTAAGAAATTGAGCATCAAAAGATATGTAAACTGCAAAGGTAAATTTAAAAGATCAATTTTAACAGTGTTCCAGGTGAGAACTGTACCAGATCATACTTTACACTTCATCAGCAACTTCCTTCCTATCTCTCCATCTTTAAAATGAGACTAGCATTCAACCTAGTGGTATCAGAAAAGGTGAACAGTGGTATCAGAAAGGGTTTAAACTCTTCCAAAAAGGATTAGAGAAACCGGGGGTGTAGATTGTAGCCATGTTAGTCTAAGGACATAAGCAGACAAGGTTCTTCGAGTGAATCTGATATCTTTTATTAAATCAACTCAAATAGTTGGAAATAAACATCACCATCCAGTGATATCAGTAAAGTCTGTTGATACTGCAGGCTTCTACTTCTTGGATGGAAGAGCACACACCAGTTTCCACCCAGGAAGAGCACACACCAATTGCAGATGCTTCCTTAGCCTGACGAAGGGTTTTTAAACCCGAAAGCTTGCTAAGAATTTTTTTTCCAACTATTCACCTTGGTCTAATAAAAAAATATGAGATTTACCCAAAGAACCTTGTCTGCCTAGAGAAACCAGGGTATTTGACCTCGAATGTGGAACCCAGTAGCATATATTCAGAGTTCAGGTCCAAGTAGCAAGTATTGTGAGGTACAATAAGTCATTGAAATTGATTTTTCAGAGATAAAGCTTCTATTCTCCACCACTTAAGTAGAACAATCTCTTTTGCTCTGGTTAAATGCTTGCCCTCGCATGTGACATTAAACTTCACTCTTTCTGATGAAATAGCTAATGTGTATGACATGAAACAATGCTATGCAGTTATGTATTGCTTCCCAGAGTCTTGCTAATTCATGCATTTCAGAGTAAAAGTATGAATCAACTTTTTTATCTGGGACTGAGGAAGTTAGCAAGACATTTTTTACCACCCTGTCTGAAATCATCCACATTTTTTTCATTCAAAAATAAAACAAAACAAAAATAAAGAGCAAGCGCTTTGCTCATATACGCTCAAATTCGAAAACATTATTGTGTCTGTGGACATGAACAAAAGTAAAAGTCCTTCTTATATGAAAATGCATAATTGATTTTATTTTGGATAGAATATAAGGGCAAAAAACTCTATTCCTGAAAATAAAACATTGGTTCTAACATGCCAAGACACTACTCTTCTTCGAAAAATGGATTTCCCTGCTATCACACAAGGAAACGACAGAATACTGGATTCACAATCCATTATACAGAACAGATACCACTTAATAATTGCATTACTCTTCACCCCATTGTGGAAGGAGGATGCAACTAAACTCTTACTAATAGAATCTATTAGTGATTCTCAAGCTGCTGTCTAAGAACCACTAGCAGTCTTCCAGATATTTCCTGTTAGTCCATGGAGAGATTACTTCCCTCTATTTTTCTTTATCTAAATCACTTTTAGAAGCCAGTAGGATACAGTGTATACTTTCCCAATACGTTTTATATATATAGGGTTAGCTTTCACAAGGGAGTTGTATGAATGAGAGTAGAAATACCTAGAGTACACCTGGAACTCTCTTTGTTAACCTAAAAAAAAGCAGAAAAATGTATATTTGGCGAATTTAGTAACGACACATTTGAGAAATTCTGTGTACCTACTCAGGTACTTTTTTTTTCTATAGTCTGACTCCATGTACACATTTATAAAATTTCTCTTTTAAAAAGAGGGAGATGGGGAAACCCCAGCAATTATCTATGTATTCTTTTTAAAGACAACATGGGACAATCATTACTAGCCCTACTAGTAGGATCTTATGTTACTGCCCAACCTGAATATAGAAAGAAAGCATTTAAATTTTCATTCACAGCTTCATAGGAACTTTCCTGTGGAAGAGCTGCCACAGGAGCTCAATTCATTAGGAACCAAGTGCAATGAGAAGAGGCACAAGGTACTTCAGGAAATAGGCATATTAGTGGCATTTTTACTAATGCTTTTAACTAAAAAGGGCATAAGAAGAATAATGGCATTGTGCATAGTCATAATCTGAAAATCTTAGCTGGGTACTATTTTTTTGTAAAAAAAAAAAAAAAAAAAAAAAAAAAAAAATCCAAATATTTCTAATGAAGTAGAAATTAAAGAAATGGAATGTAAGCCATCTTCCCCCACATGTCAAGATGCAGCCAAACATGAATTACCAATTATTTCATATGTATAGCACTCTCAATTTTTTAAGACTGGAAAAAATATTTGTAGAGCCGGAATTAAAATATATAGCAACAACAAATAAAATCAAAAAACTCTAATGTTATTTTAAAATGTTGGGGGGGGTTATTACTACAAACTAGAAGTTACAAATTAAGACGTTTGGGAATATGGAAATATGTCGTTGAAACAGTAAAAGAACCTCAACTCTTCCCTAATCTCATCACATGGTAAAACTTCCTCGCATCATGGACCCAGTCTAAAATAATCATTTTATAAATAAATCATTTTATAATCAGTCTAAAATAATCATACTGGACCAAATCTTAACCTGGTTTAAATTGGACTTTCCTTCATTGGCATTAATGGAGCTATATCAATTCAGACCAGCTAAGGATATGGCCTCTACCAATGAATATACATGTCAACTCCCCAAGTCAGACGGTCTGTTTCTCCAGTTGCCACTCTCCCAAGAGAAACCACAAGTGTACAAATGTTCAGAAAAATAACCCAAGAACGACTAGGATTAAATCACTCTTGGGAGAGTTTCTCCTGGAAGAACAAATGTCTGTACATGTTCTCTTCTGAGAAGAGACAAAGCTGAATCCTCCACCATCCCATGGTGCTTTTTTTCCATCACCTCAGGAAACAACATGTCACTTGCTGGGCTCTAAGGAGCAGACCATATCCCCTTCACAATCCTACATTGTGCTACAGGGAGATACCGGCCAACTCTGAGGAGTCTGGGTAGCCAATTGAAGCTGTCCTGTGCACTGCAGCCGTTCTCCAAGCAGAGTGAGGAAGTTTACAGAGCACACACATGTGCACAGGCACCTCCTGGCAGTGCAGCATCAGCAGCACAAGCTCTCTGCCCCTCAGGGTCTTATCATGCAAATGTCTGTTCAGGTGTCTCCAGTTAAGCTTTTCTGCCAAGAGAACAAAGCCAAGAGAATTTTCCCAGGTCATCTGAACTCTGTGCACAGTTACTCCGGGTTACATACCCAATAACAGTAAATGGAGGTGAGCCAGGGTGGTTATCTGGCAATGGATAAACCCATCTGAAGAGTGCTAATAGAGAGCCTGCTTAGAGGAGCTGAATAAAGTAGATTGGGCTTTGTGTACGTGCATCAAAAACAGCATCTCTGTATCTTCTTACAGAGAAAGGCATGTGTTGCGGTGTTGCTATAGTCTGAATTAAAGCGTTCCCATCCCAATTCAACCTTCAGAACTACTTAAATTTCAAGCCTGTGTGTAAAGAAACACTGTCATTCATCAAATGAACATATGTAAACACTTCCTGGATTACCAAGGCTACAAAGATGACAAGATGCATTAAGCAAGTCTGAAGTCAGATAGGCAGTAAAGATCAAACAGATCACCTTGGCAAAAAGGGGATTCTTCCGCTGCTGAGCAAAATAGCTGGATCGTCATAACCCCCACGTAAATATAACTGAGTTCAACTGCCATTGTAGGGGGGGCTTAACACCTTTCATGTTCAGCAGTAAACCTCTCTCTGTCATGTGTGTTAAGAGGAGAAAAAGAAGAAAAAAAACCACTTCATTGATTTAACTACCTGTTGCAAGGCTGGTGCTCAACAAGACTGTATAGAGATATGAAGTACCCCCAAATGTTTTGTTTAATAAGCACTCCCAAAAGACACATATTCTGAGAGTGAGAGGAGCTGCAGTAATTGGAAGTACATGCATCACACACCCCTCCATACATACATAAACACTTGTACATCTTATATACACACCTGTACATGTACACACACACACACACACACACACACACACACACGTGTATGTAAAATGTATGTGTGTACACACACACACACACACACACTTTTTCAAATTCCCAAACCTGGTGCACTCAGTTAGAGCCCATCTG